AAGTCAAAGAAAATTTTTCTGAGTCGATATTCGAGTAGAAAATATTTTTTCTGAGTCGTGGAAAAAATTCTGAGTCGAAAATTCTATTTTTTTGCGTTATTTCAAGATTTTGCCTCAATTAAAAATTCAAGAAAAGTCAAAGAAAATTTTTCTGAGTCGATATTCGAGCAGATAATATTTTTGCTGAGTCGGGAAAAAAAATTCTGAGTCGAAAATTCTATTTTTTTTTGGATTTTGCCTCAATTAAAAATTTAAGAAAAGTCAAAGAAAATTTTTCTGAGTCGATATTCGAGTAGAAAATATTTTTTCTCAGTCGTGAAAAAAATTCTGAGTCGAAAATTCTATTTTTTTTGCGTTATTCTTGGATTTTTCCTCAATTAGAAATTCAAGAAAAGTCAAAGAAAATTTGTATTTAAGTAAAAAATATTTTTTCTGAGTCGCGAAAAAAAAATTCTGGGTCGAAAATTCTATTTTTTTTGGATTTTGCCTCAGTTACAAATTCAAGAAAAGTCAAAAAAAAATTTCTGAGTCGATATTCGAGTAGAAAATCTTTTTTCTGAGTCGTGAAAAAAAAAGTTCTGAGTCGAAAATTCTATTTTTTTGGATTTTGCCTCAATTACAAATTCAAGAAAAATCGAAGAAAATTTTTCTGAGTCAATATTTGAATCGAAAATATTTCTAAGTCAATATCGAGTAGAAATTTTTTTTTGAGTCGAAAAAAAAAGTTCTGAGTCGGAAATTCTAATTTTTTTGCAGTATTTTTGGATTTTGCCTTAATTACAAATTCAAGAAAAGTCAAAGAACATTTTTCTGAGTCGATATTTCAGTAGAAAATATTTTTTCTGAGTCGTGAAAAAAAATCTGAGTCGAAAATTCTAATTTCTTTGCGTTATTTTTGGATTTTGCCTCAATTACAAATTCAAGAAAAATGAAAGAAAATTTTTCTGAGTCAATATTCGACTAGAAAATATTTTTTCTGAGTCATGAAAAAAAAAATTCCGAGTCGGAAATTCAAATTTTTTTGCGTTATTTTTGGATTTTGCCTCAATTAAAAATTCAAGAAAAGTCAAAGAAATTTTTTCTGATATTATGTATTTAAGTAAAAAAATTTTTTCTGAGTCGCGAAAAAAAAATTCTGAGTCGAAAATTCTATTTTTTTTGGATTTTGCCTCAATTACAAATTCAAGAAAAATCGGAGAAAATTTTTCTGAGTCGATATTCGAGTAGAAAATATTTTTTCTGAGTCGTGAAAAAAAAATTCTGAGTCAAAAATTCTATTTTTTTTGGATTTTGCCTCAATTACAAATTCAAGAAAAATCAAAGAAATTTTTTCTGAGTCAATATTTGAATCGAAAATATTTTTTCTGAGTCGTGAAAAAAAATTCAGAGTCGAAAATTCTATTTTTTTTGCGTTATTTTTGGATTTTGCTTCAATTACAAATTCAAGAAAAGTCCAAGAAAATTTTTCTGAGTCGATATTCGAGTAGAAATTTTTTTTCTGAGTCGTGAAAAAAAATTCTGAGTCGAAAATTCTAATTTTTTGCGTTATTTTTGGATTTTGCTTCAATTACAAATTCAAGAAAATTCAAAGAAAATTTTTCTGAGTCGATATTCGAGTAGAAAATCTTTTTTCTGAATCGTGAAAAAAAATTCTGAGTCGAAAATTCTTAAGTTTTTTGCGTTATTTTTGGATTTTGCTTCAATTACAAATTCAAGAAAAGTCAAAGAAAATTTTTCTGAGTCGATATTCGAGTAGAAAATCTTTTTCCTGAGTCGTGGAAAAAAATTCTGAGTCGAAAATTCTAATTTTTTGCGTTATTTTTAGATTTTGCCTCAATTAAAAATTCAAGAAAAGTCAAAGAAAAGAGTCGATATTCGAGCAGTTAATATTTTTTCTGAGTCGGGAAAAAAAATTCGGAGTCGAAAATTCCATTTTTTTTTTTTGGATTTTGCCTCAGTTACAAATTCAAGAAAAGTCAAAGAAAATTTTTCTGAGTCGATATTCGAGTAGAATTTTTTTTTCTGAGTCGTGAAAAAAAATTCTGAGTCGGAAATTCTAATATTTTTGCGTTATTTTTGGATTTTGCCTCAATTACAAATTCAAGAAAAGTCGAAGAAAATTTTTCTGAGTCAATATTCGAGTAGAAAATATTTTTTCTCAGTCGTGAAAAAAATTCAGAGTCGAAAATTCTATTTTTTTTGCGTTATTTTTGGATTTTTCCTCAATTAGAAATTTAAGAAAAGTCAAAGAAAATTTTTCTGAGTCAATATTCAAGTAGAAAATATTTTTTCTGAGTCGTGAAAAAAAAATCCGAGTCAAAAATTTCAATTTTTCCGCGTTATTTTCGAATTTTGTCTAAACTACAAATTCAAGAAAAGTCAAAGAAAAATTTTTCTGAGTCGATATTCGAGTAGAAAATCTTTTTTCTGAGTCGTGAAAAAAAAATTCTGAGTCGAAAATTCTAATTTTTTTGGATTTTGCCTCAATTACAAATTCAAGAAAAATCGAAGAAAATTTTTCTGAGTCGATATTCGATTAGAAAATCTTTTTTCTGAGTCGTGAAAAAAAATTGTGAGTCGAAAATTCTAATTTTTTTGGATTTAGTCTCAATTACAAATTCAAGAAAAATCAAAGAAAATTTTTCTGAGTCGATTTTCAGTAGAAAATATTTTTTCTGAGTCGTGAAAAAAAATCTGAGTCGAAAATTCTAATTTCTTTGCGTTATTTTTGGATTTTGCCTCAATTACAAATTCAAGAGGAGTCAAAGAAAATTTTTCTGAGTCGATATCCAAGTTGAAAATATTTTTTCTGAGTCGTGAAAAAAAATTCTCAGTCGAAAATTCTAATTTTTTTGAATTTTGCCTCAGTTGCAAATTCAAGAAAAGTCAAATAAAATTTTTCTGAGTCAATATTTGAATCGAAAATATATTTTCTGAGTCGTGAAAAAAAATTCTGAGTCGAAAATTCTAATTTGAGTCGGAAATTCTAATCTTTTTGCAATATTTTTGGATTTTGCCTAAATTAAAAATTCAAGAAAAGTCAAAGAACATTTTTCTGAGTCGATATTCGAGTAGAAAATATTTTTTCTGAGTCGTGAAAAAAAATTCAGAGTCGAAAATTCTAATTTTTTGCGTTATTTTTAGATTTTGCCTCAATTAAAAATTCAAGAAAAGTCAAAGAAAATTTTTCTGAGTCGATATTCGAGCAGATAATATTTTTTCTGAGTCGGAAGAAAAAATTCTGAGTCGAAAATTTTATTTTTTTTTGGATTTTGCCTCAGTTACAAATTCAAAAAAAGTCAAAGAAAATTTTTCTGAGTCGATATTCGAGTAGATTTTTTTTTTCTGAGTCGTAAAAAAAAATCCTGAGTCGGAAATTCTAATATTTTTGCGTTATTTTTGGATATTGCCTCAATTACAAATTCAAGAAAAGTCGAAGAAAATTTTTCTGAGTCAATATTTGAATCGAAAATATTTTTTCTGGGTCGTGAAAAAAAATTCTGAGTCGAAAATTCTAATTTTTTGCGTTATTTTTGGATTTTGCTTCAATTACAAATTCAAGAAAAGTCAAAGACGTTCTAATTTTTTTGCGTTATTTTTGGATTTTGCGTCAATTACAAATTCAAGAAAAGTCAAAGAAAATTTTTCTGAGTCAATATTCGAGTCGAAAATATTTTTTCTGAGTCGTGGAAAAAAATTCTGAGTTAATATTTGAGTATCAGAAAAATAGTTTCTACGCAGTACCGGTACCACAAGGTAAAAATTGACAGTTGTACTAGGTTTAGTACAATTTTTTTTTCAGGTAGTTTAGTCCTGATCGACGGCCAAGTGGTGCATTTTAGCGAACCGAACAAATCCGACCAATCACGACACGCCTACACTTTCCACATTGTCGAACGGAAAAACACGAAATATTCCGAAGAAAATTAGCTCCAGCCAACCGAAAATCATTTTTAAGCTTTTACAAAGATTATTGATAATGGTACTAAGTTTAGTACAATTATGATTTTTTAGTAAAAACATCATTTGAGTTATAAAACAGTTTTCTACTTTATTAATACATTGTACTAGACTTAGTACATTTACTAAAAATGTACTGAATTTAGTACAATTGACTCAGTTTACATCAACGGCTAATTATTTTATTCTACAAAATTTTTTTTTATACATTTGTTTTTTTTTTTTCAAAATGTCGAACTGCAAAATTTGTCTTCGACCAATCGGAATGTTTCCTAGTCCAGGCGTCTCCAAATAAAATTCAAATGTCAGTCTTGGAGGGTCGTTTTGGGCCTGCAAGATAACAACGTGTGAAAAAATAAAACTTTTTTTTTTATCATTTTTTTTATTTATTTATTTTTTTTAAATAATCATATTAGTTTTTAATTGATATAAAAGTTGATACACACTTCGGCGCCTTTTCAGAAATGTACTAGATTTAGTACAATTATCGAAAATGTCAAAAATAATGATAAAATTAATTGAACTACATTTAATACAATTATTCACAAATTTTTCCTAATATCCTCAGAGTGCTTACGATTCTTCGGATCCAAGATAAATTGTACTAAAAATTGAATGTACTGAATTTTTGGAAAAAAAATTGATCTAGTACAATTTTTGCAAAAATATTTTCATTATCCTGGGAGTTTGTGTGTTCGTTTTTTGGAAATATAGAAAAATAGTACTAAAAATGAAGTGTACTAGATTTAGTACAATTTTCAAAAATGTCAAAAACAAAGATTAATTGTACTAAAAATTAAATGTACTAAATCTAGTAAAATTCGTAAATTGATGGATTTTGGGCCAAATTGAATTTTTCAAATCTGAAGAAGACATATTTGTTGGACGAGATAATCAAAAGCGATAGCCTAATGAAAAACTACGTAAATTGCCTTTTGGAAAAAGGCAAGTGCACACTGGACGGTGCCGAATTAAAGCGTAAGTATTTCTGAGCTCTGAGCATCAAAAATCCACATTTAATTCTGAACCAATTTTTGTAGGAGTTTTACCCGACGCCATTCACACCGACTGCTCAAAGTGCAGCGAGACTCAGAAAAAGGGCAGCAAAAAAATCATGAGGCATTTGATCGACAACAAACCCGAATGGTGGAAGGATCTGGAAGCGAAATACGATAAGGAGGGTGTTTATCAGAAGCAATACAAGGCGGAACTTGCTTCAGAAAAATCTAAAAAGGCTTAATAATGCATCCTACACTATTGCTATCTCACTCTAATTGAATTCATTTTTGTTAATTAAACAATTAAAAATGCCTATTTTAAACCATTTTTAGTTTCATTTAAAAGCTTGATTTTGCATCTCAATGCATCCTACACTATTGCTGTCTCACTCTTATTGAGTTTATTCACTAGTTGTTATGCCTAAGACTAGGGTGGCAACAAAGATGACCATATTTTCACAAAAACCCTTTTTTCGATGAATCGCAATTATTAGTTACCCCCTTAAATCACCTCCAAAGTAATTTACAAGTCAAGTGATGTATTTTGGTACTGCCTTTCAATTCTAATACTGTTTGTGCTCTGACATTTAAATGGAAAAATCAAACTTCAGAATGTTGGAAAAATTAAATAAAAAAGGTGAAAATAAACAAAAAATGTCTTGTAACATTTTTTCATTAAAGGCTTCCTAAGTCCGGAAAATAAAGAGATCATTATAGGACAATTTCAAAATTTTTCAGTGAAAAATCACTCCAAGAAAAATTCTGGAAAATTGACTTTTTTAAGAAAAATTCATCCTCTTACATTTATTTTTTTTTCTGGAAATTTGGTAAAGGAAAAAATTTGAAAATTTTCCAGGAAAAAGAAGAAAGTAAAGAGATCATTATTGGGAAATTTCAAAATTTTTCAGTGGAAAACCACTCCAGGAAAAATTCTGGAAAAATGACTTTTGTAAAATTAAGGTAAATTCATCCTTTTACATTTAAATTTTTTTCTGGAAAACTGGCAAAGGGAAAAATTTGAAAATTTTCCAAGAGAAAGAAAAAAGTGGGGAAATCATTATAGGGAAATTTCAAAATTTTCCAGTAGAAAATCACTCCGGGAAAAATTCTTAAAAATTAACTAAGTTTAGGAAAATTCACCATTTTATATTTCTATTTTTTTCTGTAAAACTAGCAAAGGGAAAAATTTGAAAATTTTCCAGAAGAAAAAGGAAAATGAGGAGATCATTATAGAAAATTTTCAAAATTTTTTAGTGGAAATTACAGAAATTTCCAAAAAATATAAAAATCATAAAAATTTAAAAAATCACAAAAATCAGTAAAACGCACAAAATCATGAAAATAAAAAAAAATTAAAATTCGTAAAAATTTCCGAAATTTTTAAAAATCATAAAAATTTGAAAAATCATAAAAATGCACAAAAGTAAATTTCTATATTTTGTGCATTTCGTCGTGATTCTTGAAAATTTTCATGATTTTCGTAAATTTTCATGATTTTTCCTAGTATCCATGATTTTTGTAAATCTCTATGATTTTCGTAATTTTTGTAAACTATGATTTTTTGTGTATTTTTATAATTTTTGGAAATTTTCATAATTTTTATAAATTTGAATAATTTTTGGAAATTTTCATGATTTTTGCAATTTTTTATGATTTTCGTGATTTTTGTAAATTTCTGATATTTTATGCATTGCGTTGTGATTCTTGAAAATTTTCATAATTTTCATAAGTTTTCATGATTTTTGGTAATTCTCATGATTTTTGTAATTTTTATGATTTTCCTGATTTTTGTAAATTTCTATGATTTTTTGTGTATATATGGTTTTTGAATTTTTTTTTGATTTTTATAAATTTTCATAATTTTCATGATTTTTGTAAAAATTATGAGAAATTATAAAAATCATAAAAATTTACGAAAATTACAAAAATTATGAAAATTTCTCAAAATGACGTTCTATTGAATCTACTACATACTTGGAAAATGATGTTTCCAAGTCAATTACCAAGAATGATGTTTTTTTCTGAGTTAACTATTAAAAATTATGTTTTTTCCTGAGTTGACTACTCAAAATGATGATTTTCATAATTTTTGTGATTTTCTAAATTTTTATGAATTTTTGTGATTATTATACATTTTCATGATTTTCTTAAATTCTTATAATTTTCATAAATTTTTGTGTTTTTTGTAATTTTCCGTTATTTTACTTATTTTCTGAATTTCTATAATTCAATTAAATTTTAGAGAATTCATAAAATTGATAAATTTGCAAAACTCACAAAAATTCACAAAATTAAAAAAAAAAATCACAAAATTTTCAAAAATGGAAAAAATTCCCATATGTAATTCAAAAAAGTTGAAAAAATTCACAAAATTAAAAAATATACGAAATTCACGCAATTGAAGAAAAAGTCACAAAATTCACATATGTAATTTTGAAAAGTGAAAAAAATTCACAAAATTTTCAAAACTGAAAAAATTCACATAATTGATAAATTCATAAAAATAAATAAAATTTAAAAAAAAATCACAGAAGTGCAAACAAAATCACAAAATTCACATAAATTCACATAATTTTCAAAAGTGAAAAAAAATTCATAAAATTCAAAAAACTCAAAATAATTTCGATAATTTTCTGAATTTTTATCATTTTCGTGATTTTCGAATTTCCATGATTTTCATGATATTTTTTTACTTTTGTAATTTTTTTATGACTTTCGCATTTTTATGATTTTTTTGATTTTCTATGTTTTTTCTATGTTTCTATGATTTCCATTAATTTTTGTAAGCTTTTATGATATATTTAATATCTGTTTTTCGTTATTTTTTTGAATTTCTAAATTTCCATTATTTTCTTGAATTTTTATAAGTATAGGGTGAGTCTCTGTCCCTATATTTTGACACCCACCTGCAGCCGTAATTACAGATGATTTTCACAAAATTTTTATGATTTTTGTAATTTTTATGTGATTTTTCGAATTTCCATGATTTTCTTAAATTTTTATGAATTTACGTAGTTTTCATAAATTTCTATAATTTTTTTATGATTTTTGTAATTTTTATAATTTGTTTCGGACTTCGTATTTCTATGGTTTTCTTGAACTTTTATTATTTTTCGTAATTTTTATAAATTATTCATGATTCTTGTAAGATTTTCGTAAATTTTTATGTTTTCTTTTTCGAATTTTTTTATGAATTTTAAAAATTTGTTTGATTTTTACAAATTTTAATTTTTTTTATGATTATCGTAATTTTCCAAAATTTTCATGATTTTGTGCAATTTTAAAATTTTTGTGAATTTTCAAATTTTTATGATTTTTGAAAATTTTTGAGATTTTCATGATTTTCCAAAATTTTCATGATTTTGTGATTTTTGTTTTTTCCGCAAATTTTTTTTTTATGCATTTCTATAATTTTTCGAAAATATTCATGATTTTTGTGAATTTTTAGAATTTTTGGAAATTTTCATAATTTTTGTGATTTTTGTGAATTTCCATGATTTTTGTAGATTTTTATGATTTTCATGATTTTTATAATTTTCCTGATTTTCTTGATTTCTATGTTTTTTGTAGTTTTTGGAAATTTTTGTGATTTATGCAAATTTTTATAATTTTTGAAAATTTTTGAGATTTCCGAATTTTTTTTTAGATTTTCGTGATTTTTGGAAATTTTTGTGCATTTTTATGATTTTGGGAATTTTTCAAAATTTTCATAATTTGTGCGTTTTTGTAATTTTTCAAATTTTTATGATTTTTGTAATTTTTGAAAATTTTTGTGATTTTTGAAGATTTTTATAATTTTTTTTGAAAATTTTTATGAATTTTAAAAATTTGTACGATTTTTATGCAGAAAGAGGAAGGAAAGTGAAAAGATTATTATGGGAAAATTTCAAAATTTTCCAGTGAAATATTACTTCAGGAAAAATTCTGGAACATTAACTTTTTCAAGCAAAATTAAGGGAAATTTACCCTCTTACATTTTAATTTTTTTCTGGAAAACTGCCCAGGTGAAAATTTTGAAATTTTTTCAGGCCAACAAGGAAAATGAGGAGCTCATTTAAGCAAAATTTCAAACTTAAGCAAAATTTCAAACTTTTCCATTAAAAATAACTTGAAAATTTGAAATTTTACAATAAGTAACATATAACAAATTATCTACGTTTCACCTAAGAAAAAATCTCTGTAATCTATTTTCTCATTGGCCAAATTCTCCTTGCAACCTTGTACTTCAATTGGACCAAAAAAACAATGAAAACAATAAATATTTTTCGAAATTGCAAGCATCTATGATGACGTCATTATTTAGCGTCTGAATCCTAGCTCTAGAAACACGAAATAAAAATCACATCATTACCGCCATCTATCAAACAATACGCAAAGTAATTATTGCAATTTTTAGTTCGGCTGTTATTTATTAGATGGCGCCACTAATAAAATTATTAAAATTGTTTAAATAATTAAGATAAATTGTGTATTTTCAATGCAATAAGGCTCAATAAAATCCTCTATCGAATGAAACATGATTCGTATAAATCGATTAAGGCATTCCAAAGTAATGGCCGATTAATTTTCCAATTTTCCATGGCTTTTCCGACTTTTAAATGGAGAAATCAAACTTGAAATATAACAAATTTTTCTTAAAAGAGTCAATTTTCCAGAATTTTTCCTGGTGTGATTTTCTACTTAAAAATTTCGAAATTTTCCTATAATGATCTCCTCACTTTCCTTTTTCTCTTGGAAAATTTTCAAATTTTTCCCTTGACCAGTTTTCCAGAAAAAAATTAAAATGTAAGAGGATGAATTTTCCTTAATTTTGCTTAAAAAAGTCAATTTTCCAGAATTATCCTTGGAGTGATTTTCCACTGAAAAATGTTGAAATTTCCCTATAATGATCTCCTCCCTTTCCCCTTTCTCTTGGAAAATTTTCATTTTTTCCCTTTACCAATTTTCCAGAAAAAAATTTAAATATTAGAGGATGAATTTTCCTTGATTTTGCTTAAAAAAGTCAATGTTTCGTTTTTTTTTTTTTTGGCCAAAAATTCAAGTCAAAATTTCCCGGATTTTCTTCGATGACGTCATAGAGGAGGTCCAGAGAAATGTTGGAACCCACTTTCCATCTCTTAGGATTATGAAAATTATAAATTTACAAAAATCAGGAAATGCACAAATAATCATACAAATTTACAAAAATTACAAAATTCATGAAAATTTCCAAAAATCATATTTATATTATGTATATGTTTAAAAAAATTACAAGATTACGAAAATTCGGAAAAATTATAGAAATTTAGGTAATCAGGAAAATTACAAAAATTGCGAAATTCATAAGTTTACAAAAATCATGAAAATCATGAAAATTTACTAAATCTCCAAGACATGAAAATTTATGAAAATCAGGAAGTTTTTTAATAATCACGAAATTTACAAAAAATCATAGAATTTATGAAAATCACAATAATCATAAAAATT